TTTGTCTCGAATTTCAGATTATTGTTGCATCTGTTTGAGATCTTTTAATAGGGGGGAGAGTTATGATAGCAAGATTATAGATGCACACATAAACAATGTATGACTAAATTGAGAGGCTTGGCATATTACCTCGGGCTGCATGCCATGCTGACGCGGCTACCAGGACTGTCTGGCCTAGAGCTGCTGCACGTCTGTCTGCTTTGGAGAGGAGAGGTGATAGCAGTGGCTGTCTGTTTCTGGCCTTGCTGATGTACCTGGCTGCACAATTCCTCCTGTGTAGGACAGAGCCATCTCTCTGACCTGGTTTTGGGAGGAGTTTGGGTTCGATAGAAGCACGTCATGTGGTTCCTTTGCTGTGGATGCTCTTGAGGCTGAGCAGAACCTTCCTGCGTTTCCATTTTGTGCATGTACACAGAGCATGGTCTGAGCTGTATTTCGGTCCATCACTGCTGAGCTAAGACCATAGCTGTGGCTCCAACCTGCCCCAGGCACCTGCTATGCCCAGCAGTGGTACAGCTCTTGCCTTGCCTCACCCATTGTGGTGGCGAGCAGACGCAAGACCATGCTTAGATTGTAGTTACACTTCTCTCTGCTCTAGGCTTGTGCTTATTTAATATCCTCTTCCTGAGGAGTCAGAAGCACGGCAGAAACTGATGGTTTTTTTTTTTTTTTTTTTTTTTTTAATTTGACCGATTCATTTGATTAAGCTCTTTACAGAGGTGCTGGAACAGCTGCCCAGAGAGGCTGTGGATGCCCCGTCCATCCCTGGAGGTGTTCAAGGCCAGGTTGGATGGGGCCCTGGGCAGCCTGGTTTAGCATTAAACGTGGAGGTTGGTGGCTCTGCCTGTGGCAGGGGGGTTGGAGCTTCATGATCCTTGAGGTTCCTTTCCAACCCTGTCCATTCTGTGATTGTAGGAAAGCTGCTCAGGAGGGGAATTTAGGGAGATGAAGAAAAGGGCGGCTGTTCTGGGACGGGCAGCTTGTGCTCTGCAGGACTCTGAGCAACTGCATTTCCCAGGGATTTGTGGACATGTTTTCCCTTATCAAAGTTGTTCCTGGTTCACACAGCCTCAGTTAATCTGAGATGTAGCTCCTAGTTGCACTGTGGACGGATTCTGTAGATTCTTGTGGCAATGTGCACCCAGCCAGGCTCTGCTATCTGTCTCATTGCTGGGGTTGAAGCTGTCGTTGCACAGAGGTTCTTTATCACGGACAGTGAAGCCGTGTTTTCTGCATGGGGTCAGGGTTGTGTGTTGACAGGCTCTAATAAAGCCATTTTTCTTCCGCAGCCTTGATCAGGCAGATCTGCTTGGGATGCAGATCAACAACTTAGCTTCAGTTGGGTGTGTTGGAACAAGCCTGACTCTTTCAAGGCCAAGTGGGAAAAATGTGCTAAGCATGTTTGGAAGACCTCAAAGGTCTGCCTGCAGCTCCTATGCTGGTGCATCCCCCTAGGCATGTGATTCCCATCTTTAAATTCAGAGCAGAGCACAGTTAGCCTTCAATGGCATACTTTCCTCTGCAGCCCCATCAGCATATCTGAGAGCAACATTAATACTTCACAGTGCAAGTCCCAAACATCCCAGCTCTGCTAGGAGCAAGCAGCAGGCTGAAGCACCCCGTGATAAGTGAGCTGAGGGTTAGGGAATGGCTGTGTTGGAACGAAGCAAAATGTGAATCCATTTGTTTCTTCGTGTTTTCTGGAAAGAGACACAAATAGCTTGCACACAGTGCTTTTTATTTGCAGTTTGCATGTTTCTGGTTTTCTGGTTGGTTTGTATTGGTGTTTGTCTAATAGAGGATATATCATACCTCCTTGCAAAATTTTTAGGCTGCTTTTAGGCAGCAATAGGCAACCCAGGGAGACGCTGAGGCTTTGTGCATGGCTTCTGTCTTAAGGTCTGCTTTTAGACATTACTTAATGGGAGTATAATACCGACTACCTTCAGGTAGGATGTGAAAAGGGGGGAAATACAGATTTCTTAATGTGCTGTTGGGATGGATGAAGCAGTTCCCTCAGGAGGGGGATGGGATTAAATCCCCCTAGCAATGCGTGCTGCTGGGCTTTACCTCTAACAATAGCTCTGTCTCAAGCTTTGAAGTGTCCATTTCTTATTGGAAACATCGTTGTGGGGTAGCTGGAGTGAAGTTCTCAGAATCTAGCCTTGGGAATAGACAGCTTTCTTTGCTGGAATACACAGCAAATTCACTGTTGTTTTCTTTTAAACGGATGACTTACAAATAAAAAGAAACAATAACCAATCTTGACTCTAAACAGATTTAAAAATTGCTTGTAGGATGTCAAGGTTGCCCATTGTCAAGACAGGCTGGTGAGATATGAGCTCCGATCAGTCATGCTCCAGCAGTTCTGCATGTTGAGTAGGTGAGAGGTTAAGAAGTATCTATAATAGAGGTGGTTTTGGCAGATTGGTTAATGGGACCATAACTTCCTCCTCCCACACATCCTCGCAAAGCAAGGCTTTTTCTCTTTGTCTGTCCCTTACAACTTACTTGGAGCTGTGAAGCCATCTGTGTTTGTAAATCAGCAAATTCTCAGCTGAGCTCCTCTGCATGCCGCTTTTACAGGCAAATAGGAATACCTCACAGGCTTTGGAAGCAAAGGTGATGGCTTCAGAAACATTTCCTGGCAGGCCTGCTTCCTTTTCAGCAGCCCTGCTTTATGCCCAAGGACTTGAGAAGCAGCAGCAGCAGCTCCTCCTGAAATAGCCACAGCCCAACATGCCTGAGGTGCTTTAGCAGCAATGCTGAGGAGGATTTGCTAAAAGGTTTTTCATCTTGACAGCGAGTGGCCTCTGCTGTGTATGCCCTGCAATTAAATAGGAAAGGAGAGAGCCTGTGTGAAGTTTGCATCCTCAGACCTGAGGTTTGGCCACACATCCCTGTGAGCCGCTCCTCGCTGCAGCTGCTTACAAATTCAGAGAAAGTTTTCTGATGAAGAACTGCAGTGGAGATGCAGACCTGTGTTACAGTGCTAAAGAACCTCTGGCAGCTCCATTCTCCCTCTCCAGGAATGTGTGCTTCTGAAAAGACTTCACTGTGTGAAGTTACAGTATTAGTGTAACTTGTCTCCTGTCAGCAAATTGTTCATCTCCACAGTGAGTGTGATGGATCAGCTGTCCTCTGCAGCCATGGAATGAGAGCATAAAGGCCATCAGTGCTAATGAACCACATTCACTTGGATCTCACTATCTGCCTATACAAAAACAGGGCTTTATTGCAGGATTCGAGGCTGCAGGGAAGGCTGGGGCTGTGGAATGGCTGGCAGGAACCTTTCTGAACCTGCTGCTCTCTGGGCTGCCCATCTGACTTCAGTGCTTTGGCCTGGCTGGGCCTGCTCTGATTTTCATCTGTCAAAGTCAGATCAGTCCAAAGCACTGCTTTCCCCTCCCTCGTTTGATGCGTCTGCCCCGAGGTTTCAAAAGAACAGCTTGGTTCTTGCAGATGCGCACTGGGGCAGAGCAGGGTTAATAATCTGGGTCTCTGGGTTGGTAAATATTCTGCAGGTTGGTTACCTGTAGGTACACCAGAGCAATGCCACACTTTAATTTCTCCTTTTTACAAGGGTTACTGCTGCCTTAACCCCTGTTCTCTCTGTTCTTCCAGACTATGTCCTGCCTGCACTCAGGCTTGTTGGCTGCTTGCTGGCAGAACCAGCAGCAGCACAGGCACATCTTGCACTCGAGCTGCTCATACTGTGCTGCTCCCACCCTACTGTGCCCATTGGTCTTGCCTGGCTTTTGTGCAGCACTGGGTATGAGTTCTCACCAGAATTAAGGACCTTGGATACAGGGGCTGCTGCAAGGTCAATTTCAGCTCTGATCCTCCTGGAGTCCTCGCAGTGCTGGTCTGGACCAACACATGATGTGTATGTGGGTATCTGACCGTAATGTCAGCTGGGTTTCAGGCTTTTATCTCAAAACCATCTCTTATGGTTTCCTCAGCCTCTGCTGAGCAGCACTGTCTGCCACGTGAAGACAGCAATAATTTGTTTTATCAAACTCACCCGTTTGTGGCTGCAGAAAGCGATTCAAATGCTTGAACTCCTCAAAGCACTGGATGCAGTCTGCAGAACATGTGTACATGCTGTGGTGCTGATGGGGAGATCTGGGGAGCACTGGGACACTGCAGCGTGGCTTGCTTCACCTATTGGACAGGGAAATTGGGACAGGAAAAGGTGTCTACGTGGGAAAGAGTTTGCAACATATACAGTTTTTCAAGGTGTGCGTAGCAGGGCAATTACCTTGACAAGACCTCAGGCTCCTCCTTGTCCCATGGTGCCAACACACCCAGCAGCCACCATGTCCTTTCACTCTCCTATTGGCTCCCATCCATGCAAAAGGCCTCAGCTTCTATAACCAAAGCAGGTACCTGGGTGGCAGCAGGGTCTGTGCAGGCAAACTGCCAGGGAGCAAACTCCTCCTAGTTGGCTCTGGTTCTTTGCTCCCCGGCTGGCAGGGGTCAAGCAGAGTGGCCTGGCTGCAGAACGAGTGCTCTTGGGGAGCAGCGCTGTGTGTGGGTCTGCTTGGTGCAAAGCGGTGATCCAGCGTTCAGGCATTCAGGAGCAGCTGCAATACAGAGAAATAAAAGTCATACCCATAAATAAGAGTCGAACTAATTTAAATTGCCCTTGCAAAATAATTAGGAGCTGTTACAGATTCAGATCTGTGTGCTCCCTACTTGCAATGCATCACTGGCAAAGCGGTGAGCCCCTTTCTACTCTGTTTGCTCTTTCTGGAGCATTTTGAGGTGCAGTCATATTGGACAGCAGTGAAAGCAACACTTACAGCACAAGCTGGGCTTCCTGCAAAGCTCCCCAAAAAAGGCCTTTCCTCATTTCATACCAATAAAAAACAAAAAAGCAAGAGTGGAGGGCAGAGAAACAGAGCCTGAAGTGTTTAGGAGCAAATCTTTCTAACCTTGCTATCACATACTGCTTTCTTTTAATTAAAAATTTACCCTCCATATTATTATCTTTCCAGGTGCTCCTGGCTGTGGGCAAACATGGTTCCTGCTCACCTGCAGCCTTCTTCCTGCCCTGTGCTGTGTGTGTCCAGCATCTGGCTGCTCATCAAACAGGACTGGGAGCAACACCGTCCCAAATGGAATCTGCTCCGTGACTCACGGTAATTACAAAAACAAGAATGAAACCAAAAAGGGGTTCTGATGAACTGGAAGCTTTCCTGGGAAGATCGAGAGCTGCATCTGATTGCCTCGAGCCGACTAAAGAGAAAATAAACCCACGAGGGGGTGGGGAAAGCTTGATGATAGTATAAAAGGTGCTGTGCTGTGTATTTTAGATAATAGATTCAAAATTACCCTGCCAGCTTCAGTGGAGGAAGAGCAGCTGGGGTGAGGCTCGGCCACCAGTGGATTTGGGCAGAGCTGTGAGCAGTGGTGCCCCTGTTCTGTTTGCTGGTGCTCCCCCAGCCCTGTGCAGGGACCTCTGCTCACATCCCACCGTGCCTCACTCCGTGCCCTTTACGAAAGCTGAGAATAATCTCTATTTATTTGCTGGCATTTGGCAGTCTGGTGGTATAAACTTGTTTTAGATTTATTTTGTGCACCTGTGTCTCTTAAAGGTTGGGGTAACGTGTTAAACTGTTGCTGCTGCCCTTTGAGCTGTGATCCTAGGTTAGTAATGAGACTTTTCTCCAGACCCCAGTGCTGTGCCTTTTCCCTAAGGAGATCCGGAGCCCCTGTGGAACAGCTGCTCAGGGCTTGTCATGTGCATTTGATAAGAAATGTTATTTTCCAGCTTATAGTCAAGTATTGCAAATAATTACAAACCAGAGCTCTATATTTGTGTAGCTTAGTGTTGTTTTAACTCTCATTGATCAATGCTTGCCTTCAATCTAATGCATGAAAAATTCTATCAGGGATAATGCTCATGCAGTGTGAATCTGTTAGAAACAGATCCTTGGGTGCTGCATCCGTGATGAGATGTTTTCAAGAGGGTATTATATGTCTCTCAAAGACTTTGGAAGGGAGAAGTAAAGAGTCCTATGAGACAACTGAGGCTGATCTGATGGCTGCACACCAGGGGGCTGCTTGCGTGCAGTACAAACCATGTAGAAGCAAGGATAAGGAAGAAGAGAAATGAAGGGGGCAGTTAAGATGAGACAGGTACACGTCTTGGTGGGAGTTTGGAAGGAGAGCTGCACTGCTGCATGGATGCTGGCATTGGGCTGCTGGCTGTGACAGAGAGTGCTGAGCTGCCCAGGGCTGTCTGACAGACCCAGAGGGATGGGTGAGCCTGGGATGTGGCTCCCAAGTCCTCAGTTAACGATTCTTTAGCTGAAAAAATAACACCTGGGAGATGCTTTTCGCTCTTCTCATAAGGGTACAGTGAAAACCCAGCATAACTGAGACAGATCTGATTTAAAAGTTCATGCTTGGTTTTCCTTAGCTCTATCACATGCCACGCTTCTCTCTGCTTGAGCATGGAGCAACTTTGGGAAAGGAAAGCAATCCCATCGCTGGATGGCTTAAATGCCATCTGTGCGTGACAGTGACAGGGTCACAGCCATGCACAAAGCACACATGGGCATTCAGGGGTCTCAGTCCCTCACAGCATCTCCCTGCACATCCCTGCAGAGCAAACCTGGTGACAAAGCCTTTCAGTCAGGTTCATCATCCCTGAATGAAACCGTTTTTATTTTTTCCCAAATGCTGTTTTGGTAATAAACGAGTTCACAGCCAGAAGTGGGTGAGACTGAAGGTATAATTAGAGGTGCATTCATCACTCCTGCTGGTAATTGTTTTCTAAGAACATGTGAAAAGAGAAATTAATGCCTTGTGAAGTGCTGCACAGCGTGCAGGTATGAGCCACAGGTCTGTGGAGTGGATGGCCCCTGTCCCCATGATGGTCCCCCAGGTCCCCAGGAGGGTGTAGGGGCAACCCAGGGCTGTGAGAGCATGCCAGGTGAAAACCTGCTGGGGAGATTTACGGAGCTGGGAGGGAAATCTGGTGCTCAGCATTGCATTCTGAACTGCTGAGACTTGCTGTCTGCAGGGGGGCAAAGCGAAGAAAAAGGCAGAAAATGAAACAAAAGAGTTCCTGCAAGTTTGGGACTGAGCCTTCACCTTCTCCATGACAGCTTGCATCAAAACAAATCTATATTAAATAACTGTGACTGAAAACGATGCATTTCTTGATCTGGTGGTGGTGAGGGGGGTTTAAAAGTCTCCCAGTGAAAATGAGGTCAGTTGATGTGTGCCTTGGTTGTTTATTCCACAGAATCAAAGTGGAACGAAGCGCTCAGAAGCAGGATAGCAGCGCTGCCACCAACTGCAGTGCCTCCCCCTGGCTCCCTTCTGTCCCACATTGGGTGGCCCAGCATGGTATGCAGGTATGGGCTGTGATGGCCAAGAGGGGGATGAGTCCCCCATTTGGGGAGAAGGGCTCAGGGAAGAGTAGGGAGTGCCACCTCTCAGTGCTGGCCTGGGATGTACACTTCTAGTGCTGCTTTAATGAAGGTTCTTTTGTACAGAGCTGAAATCAGTGCCCCAGACAGCACTGCTGCTTGCTCTTCAAACAAGTTACTTCCACAAAAAAATGCACACCAGCGTTTTGTTTTATGGGACTTCTAATGGGCCGTAGTGCATAGTATCATAGCCCGGAAAATGACTTTATCGTGGTATTGCAAAGTGATTAGGAAGGCTTGCTGCATGCACTGTGTTTTGTACATGCTGTAAGTGCTGAATAGAAAAATCCATTCTTCCGTGAGCTTTCCTTACTAGCAAACTCTAATAAGTTCTTGAACAACATTCAGTGCAGGAGTCGAGAAATCTGACCACAGTGACATCCCCTTCCCCAGCCCTGCAGGCTGCTCGCAGAGCCTGGTGAGTGCAGCAGCAGATGGTGCTCGTGCTTTGCATGAGCTGCCTGCAGCAGCAGGAGCGTCAGCCTGGCCCTAGTGAGAGTCCTCCAGAAAGCAGAGCTGGAGATGCCAAGCTTTGATGAGCTGCGTTAAGCCTCTCGATGGTGCAGCCCCCCAAATGCCACATAGGCAGCCCGCCAGCCTGTCCTTCAGGAAGGTGCTGATGTTAAATTGTGCGCAGGCAGCAGCACAGCCCCAGAGAGCACCAGGTCATAGAATTGTATCTTAGAATCCTAGAATGGCCTGGGTTGAAAAGGAGCACAATGCTCATCCAGTTCCAACCCCTTGCTGTGTGCAGGTCGCCAACCAGCAGACCAGGCTCCCCAGAGCCACATCCAGCCTGGCCCTGAATGCTTCCAGGGATGGGGCATCCACAGCCCCCTTGGGCAACCTGTTCCAGTGCCTCAGCACCCTCTGGGGAAAAACTTCCCCCTAATATCCAACCTAAACCTCCCCTGTCTCAGTTTCAAACCATTCCCCTTTGTGCTATCACTGTCTACCCCCTGTAAACAACCCCTCCTGTTTATTCACTCCCTTCAAATATTGGAAGGCCACATTGGGGACTCCATGGAGCCTTCTCTTCTTCAAGCTAAACAAGCCCAGTTCCCTCAACCTTTCCTCATAGGAGAGATTCTCCAGCCCTCTGATCATTTTAGTGGTCCTCTTCCTCTGGACTTGTTCCAAGAGCTCTGCATCTTTCTTGTACTGGTGTCCTGGAAAGGTCCCTCTGCAAAAGGAAGCTGGAACCTCAAGAAAGTGCTCTGAGCATCGTGGTGCAATGTCCCACGTGTAGTGTGACCCTGCATAGCAGCCTGCTTTCTTCTTTTTGATTCCCCTCTGTGGGAAGTGGTACGTGAGTTGACTTTGGGATGAAGCTGGAAAAGTTTGAGTGAATGAGGTAGTTGGACAAGGCTCTGAAAAACCAAATGTGCTGGAAAAAGCAAGGGGAAATGGCTTAAAACTAAGACATGGGTGATTGGGTATTAGGAAAAAGTTCTATGCACTTGGGGTAGTCAGGCATTGGCACAGGCTGCCCAGAGATGGTGCCCCATCCCTGCAGACATCCAAGGTCAGGCTGGTTGGGGCTCTGAGCACTGATTCATTGCAGAGGGGTTCTAGCAGATGGCCTTTAAAGCTCCCTTCCAACTCAAACAATTCCACAGTTCTGTGATTCTATGATCTCTTCATTACAAATGCACTCCAAACCCAAATGTGCCCTGTGAGGGACTTATCGATTCCTGTAAACTCCATGCACTCAATATTTTTGGTTTATCACCACCAGTTTAAGACTGCATATGATCTACAAAAGTGTGTTTCTGCTTCAGAAGCAGTGCTCCAACAGGAAGGGGAGTAGCTGTGTGGGGACATAAAGGAGAGCAGCAGTGATGGCTGTACGCGTGCAGATGTGTGCAGTGATGTGCCTGCTGCGTGCAGAGGCACAAACAGGGTGTTTTAAATCCTCCCTGTCGCCTGGACATTAAAAAGCTTTAAAAAAAGGAAGATGAAAATGAATGCTTCTGCGGTTTCCTCCGCACTCATTGAATTTCTGTCCATAGCGTTTACAGACTTTAAGAGGAGCCTGCATAATTACCTTTTCTCGTGATGTTTTTTTTTTTCTCCTCTCCATTTAAAACTCATTGTATTGTGTCATTTTATAGGCGCCAGGAATAAATCTTTTGTCAGCTCGATTGCATTATTATGCAAAGTACACAAAAAAGTGCAGGAATAAAACAGGCTGGGAGAAGCGGAGCGCCGTGCTTCCAACCGCTGCTCTGCCCAGCAGCAAGGCTCCCGCTTTGCTACCATCACCTTTTTCCCAGGCAAACTTCCTCACCCGTGGCCACTGATTGCAAAGAGTTCACTTGACCGTGCTAATGCCTGCGCCAGGGATGTGTATTTAGTGTGAGAAGGAGGACTTGGTGAAGGAGCCATCAGTTACCTCTGCAGAACTGATCCTGAGGGGAAGGAGCTACTGAGGACTTTAGGCAGGGTGAGAGGGGTCAGCCCAAGCGTGCTCCCTTTGTCCTTTTTCCCCATGCTGAAGTGTCCCAAGAACTGATTTAGGGAAAAAAATATATGGGTGTCGCTTGAAATATTCCAATGGGGAAAGCTCAGGTGATGCAGGGGAAGCTGCTGGCTCCATCAGGGGCCTCCTTGGGCTCTGACTGGTCTGAAATCCTGGTGATGGGACAGGGGATCCAAACCTGGGGCTGGCCCTGCCCTGCTGTGCACTGCTGGTCACAGCTCTTCCAGCTGGTCACAGAGCTCTGAGGAAGAACTCATTTAAACTCATTAATGGGTGCTTTAACTTCTCGCTGAGGCTCGTTAGCATTGCTGGAACAGAGCTCTGCTCCCACAATGTATCAGTGAAATGGAATTAAGGAACTTAATTAGGTTGGGTTAAACAGAGCGAAGGGTGTCAGAGCAGGGGAGTGACAGCTGGGAGAACTCACTCTCCCCACTCATCTGCTGGAACGTCCTTGGGAAAAGGGCTGGAGGAGGTGTGTGCCCATGATGGGGGTTTGTTTTGTCCTCCCATGGGGTTCCACCCCTTTCTTGTTCCACCTTGTACAAATAACAGTCCTTCACTTTGCAGAGGAAGAGGACAGCGACTGGCTGTGCTGGTGGAACTGAGGGAAAACCAAGGGAGAAAATGGTCATTAGGAAGCCAGTAGTAAACTCATTTTTCTTGAGGTGAAAGATGGATCTATGGTGACTTGGAAAGCTGTCTCCAGGGGCTCACCCCGCATTTATCCACTCATATCTAGCCACCACTGTCGTTATTTTTTTGAGCTGGCAACACAGATTGCAATACAATGGGAAAAAACTTTAGTCCCCATGCCAAACTGGAAAGTCTAAATCTATTCTTCACTAGTTATTTACTGACATACATCTTCAGACAGAAGGTTGAGTGCCCTGCACTTGTTCTCTGGTATATTGTAGTGGACCATGGGCCACACCAGCAGCAGGTTCTGCTTTCCTTATATCTAACCTAAACCTACCTACCTTCCCTTTGGGTCTGTGCAGTGGGTGTGAGGTCCTGGGAACTCGCAGTGATTGTGAAGGTGAAGAAGATGCTGAGGGAAGCGTCTGGCACTATTCCTTGGGCAAATTAGGTGCTTCTGGAAGTTAAGATGGAGACACACGTACGTGTGAGATGTTTAGTGGGGCTGCTGCCATAATGGCCCAAAGATGCCATGTTGGGATGTGATGAATGGGGTTGGGTTACTCTTGCTTGGCATCTTGAGCGCTCCTCCCAGTCCCATCTCCACACCTCCAAATTGCTAGCCTTGTGCATTCCCAGAAGCATGAACCTTTATGTCCTATAAAACACTAACAAAACCAGACAGATCACACTTTCTCAAGATGGGAAAACATCTGTCGCTGTGCCTTATCTTCTCCCTTTCAGTACAACCCGTTGCAACTCTCTGCTCCGCTTCCAAGCTGCTGCCTGCAAATAGTGATGGGAAAGGGGTTTGAGCATCATTGCACAAACAGATTTCTGGTGGGGAACGGCTGCGCTGTGCACCAATGCCAGGATGTGCAGAAACAAGTATTTATGAATTATTTACATTTCTTTAGTTGCTGCTCATCGTTTGTTGTTTTTCTGTTTAATCAGTTTGTCCTCTGTTCCAAGAGGAGAAGGAAAGCCAAAATGACTTCAGTGACAGCTCAGCTATCCCCCAGAATGACTAGTAAGTAGTCGGAGTAAACAGCTTAGGAAGAAAATACAGACAGAAAAATTATGCATCTCATCCACATGACAAATTGCTCGGAAAAAAAAAAAAAGAGAGATTTCTTTTGTGCAGAAAATCCTCAAATTAAAAAAAAAGTTTAAAAAAAGAGGAGAAAAATCATTTACCTTTTGCACAGAATGAAAATGTTACGAAAAGCGTTAATTGAACATAATTGTGCTTCCTTTGTTTCTAAAATGTGAGAACAACAGAATTACACAGGAAAGTGAAAGAGAAGGGAATTGAGCCAGTTAAGTCAGCGATGAGGGTTTTTTTTTTTTTCCTATCAAAATGAGAGAGAAGTGCTTTATTTTGACTTTTTCCCATCAGAAATGTTGTGGAAATCAATGGTTTCCTATGCAACGCTCGGATGAAAATGAAAACCACGTTTGCTAATGAAACGTCCCTGCAGTGACAGCTCTAGTGCCTTACTGGAAGGCATGGGCCTAATCCTGGCACCAGTTCTCCCAGTAAGTCTGCTCAGTGAACTGGAGCTGCTTCGGACCTGCACAGAGGTTTCCTGCTCCGGGAAGGGACTGTGATCCTCACTAATTTATTCACCATGAATAATTCAACCACTTCTTGTCATTGCTTTGCCACACGTGTTGCTGCCATAGCCTGTATTTGATTGTATCATAAAAACCTGGAAACTGGAGACAGAAAAAGCGTAAGATGTTCTCCCACCCCCCCAGGTTGAGCTGCTCCCTGCACTGTGCTGATGGTTTGGAACCGAAAAGTCAAACAGGGAAGCAGAGAACTGCAGCACGATTGGTTTTGAATATTTGTTTTAGTTGGGGTGTTTGGCACAAAAAACTCATAACTGGATTCTAAGTACAGGTGAGATATAGAAAAAAAAATGGGGTTTTATGTAAATAAAAAATGTGGAGAAAATACAGTTCTTCCTCTGCCCAGCTTAAGTATGAGAACATACTGCAGGGTTTATTTTCCAGGTGAAATTTCGGAGCTTTAACTCTATAAATAAGCCTAGCTCCATTGATCTCAATGGCACGATGCTGATTGACACCTACTGAGGATACATGCATAAGTATTTTTCCTAATGAGCTCCTTCTGAGCCTACGATTGCCAATTGATGTGGCAATTACATATTAATATGTGCAACTGTGCACAATCAAACTGGGCTAGAAGGGATGCAACCTTTTGTTTCTTAAAATTAATAAAATATTTATTGCAATCAGCTCACATCTCCCAATTTGTTGCCAATTAACTAAAGTGTTTGACGTGCAGCTGATTGAGGCTACAGCAACAGAGCTGCACGTGGGGAACAAGTCGGAGGCTTCTTATACTCAATTCCTCTCTTCTCATACTTTGCAAGGAGGAGAGCAGCAGCAGGAGGTGGAAATGGTGATGACTTCACCTCCAGGGAAAGACATCATTTATGAAGAGGAGCTGAAGGCAGGGGATGGCCAGAACTCCGCCAAACTTCTGCTGGCGAAGACCAGAGAGTTTGGGCTGTAAGTGGACTTAAAAATGCTTTTCTTGTTATTTTTTGGGAATATTGACTAAATGGGATGAAGGTGGAAAGAGTTGCAATGCGGAGTGATACCAACTGCGGACATTTATTTGTCATGGAAACACAAATCCTATTTTTTATGTGACCTGGTTTGTGGCATAAATTAATCCATTATTATGGAATTCCAGCATTATGGGACTTCAGCTCGTGGTTGCATAACTGTATATATTTATATGGTAGCTAAGAAAGGATAGAGTGTTCCAAAGATGATATCTGTGAGTGGTAGAGGTCCTTAAAAGATGCTGCAGGCCACACTAGTGCTGCTGGAAGGCTGACTTAGAATCAGAATATCCCAAGTTGGAAGAGACCCACAGGGAAACCCGTCCCTGTCTCCATAGCCGTCCTTTGGATGCTCTCTAATAGCTTTATGTCCTTATATTGCTGCACCCAAACCTGCACACAGTAGGCATGACTGCTTGGACTTCAGTGGTGATGTGGCAGCTCTGCAAGTCAGGCAGTGGGGTTACCTCAAGTATGAGGCACTGATGAACGTCCAGCACTGCTCCCAGCTCATTGTGAGCATGCCCTGCCCTTGGAAGTCAGCAGGAAGAGGGCAGCCGATCTCCACGTGTGCAGCCGAAACACCCAACATCCCAAGGCCCAAGTTAGTCCAATGCCTCTATTCTCACTTCTGTCGCATAGAAGTCAGTTATTTAAATTACATTCACGGCCTTGCTGCTTTGATGGCTCTTTTTTTCAGAGCTTTTCCCTCCCCACTTGTTTGTTGTTGTTGTTTTAATTTAAACTAATGAGATATTTCTATGTTCCTTCCTCTGCGAGAGCTGGAGAGTCTCATTAGAACTCCTGCAAATTCTGGAAATGAGCTTGTAAAATCTTTGCTTGGGATGTTGGAGATACGCACACACCTGCCGGAGGAAGAGCCAGATCCTGTTTTTTAAATGCTTTTTGTTCAGCTTTTTCAAAGCTGAACCAATCCCTGTAATGAGGGGCTGTCTCTTCATAAAATCTCTCTTATGGGATCTTTGATCTCTATTAGGAAGTGGAACTGAGCGAAGAGAGAATCAGCATCAGTAGCCTGTTTCATCCCAGCCTCACTGCTCTGATGATTCATCCCCCAGCCAGGCCATCTTTTTCAATGAACTTGCCATTCTTGTGAATTAGATCTAATGCACGCTGCCCTAGCTCACATAATTGTTAATAAACTGAAAGTTTGCATGTAGAATAAAATCAAATAGCTTCTCATTTTCTAAGAATGACTGGGCAGAGCAAAGCTAATTTTGTTCTAGCTTAAAATATTAATAATAGCTAATGAAAGCAGCCTAATGCCAGTGGGGTGAGTGCTCAGCATGAGCATCGTGAAGAGCCAGAGGACCCAGGAGGTGTCAGCACTGCCACT